CGTTCAAGGAGCGTTGAAGACTTCGTTGAAAAGACGTCAAACTAACAGGCTCGTACTCTGTACCGCCTACTTTCTTCACGGAAAAATTTGCACAACAGCAAATTCAATTCTTTCTCAGGTATGTCACAGAGTTCCCTATGCTCGTTTTCTTGTAAAGCAAAACTGCTTCCATGCCTTTATGTCACTTTCTGTTTCTACTTTTGTGTTTGCCTGTTTTTGTTGCAAAATAGGCCTAAATTCATGAAACTCGTCAACATTTTTGTTTTCTTTGTTTTCATTCTCGTTGACGGTTTCAGTTTTCTCGTTTTCCAAATCCATTGATACATAGCCCGCGAGCAGGCTCACGTTGGAGCACAAGCGCGAAATCGCCTCTTCACCAGACTCCTTCCCGCCGGATCGCTTCGCTCTTCGCCGCTCGCGCGTATGACTCAAAGCTGAGCCTGCTCGCAGGCTAATTGATACAGAGACCACAGGAAATCTTTAACTGTCACGGAAAATTTTTTTCACGGCACAACATTGAACTTACGAAAGAAAACTTTGGTGAACCGGCCTCCGCTGCGGAGAAATTTTTCTTCCGGGACACAGCGCGTAATCCCGAGCGGGCAAGATGACTCCATCTTGCCCGCTCGGGTAGGCAGTCAGCGCAGGATTTGGTTCATCTTGCCCGCTCACGGAGTTAGCCATTAAGCTGTTCAGTTAGCCAGGATTGTTATTAGTTATTTTGATTCGATCTTATCTATCAAACCGCTATTGTGGCTGTTCATATCTTCTGTGGAAACTTGGGTCGCAGACTGGGACCTGTGTGGAGTTGGCTTTGCGTGCCGTTCATTTCGATTGTCCACTTCCGTACCGTTAGTACGTACTTATTTTCAGAGTAGGAGGGCCGGACGGGAAAATATTTGACTCTCGCTCAGGACGTATGGACCGAGCGCAGCAAGGTCTATGCATGCTGTCCGAGAGCCAAGTATTTTGCCGCCCGACCCGACCTCACTCAGTCAATAAGCACTGATTTTCTCATCTGGCCATTTTTCTTTTAATTTAATTTTGTAGACGTCATCGTTTGTGAGGGTTTTTACTTTCAGAGTAAGTTGGTAACAGAATAGTTCTGCATCGGACAGTTCGCCAGTGTAGTAAATTCTGTCATTTCCTTACTCATTGTGAAGAAAACAAAATTTTGCAGCAACAAAGTTGTGTCTGTCATTAACTAGCATCAATTTTAAGAGCCGTGAAGCGTTTTTCCGGCCCTATCACTTTGACGAATACGGACCTTTTTCTCATGGTTTTCCAAGGAAATAATGCGCAGGCCAGTACGGGTCATATTATGATTGTAGTTATTGCTCCCATCTCCTGCTGCGGGGAAATAGCAATAACAGAAACTTATAACTTATTTCTGTTGTCCCGGAACGAGTCCACCCGTTTCCTGAGAACTTGGGTGCTTTCTATTATGCCAAAGATTTCGGAAATTTCGGTCAGAAGTCAAAAGGAAAGGTCCGTTTCGGTTCTTTCCGACCGGAATATTCGGGCCCACCTCTGGAGGTGGGCCACTTTGACCTGTTCGGCCGGTCCGACCGAAATTTGCCGTTGCATTTTGACAAACCGGTTCATCACTTCACTTGGGTAAGGAATTTGGAAAAGGAATAAAAAAATGGTTAGAGCCATATGTCTCTTGGTTGGCCCGGTTTAATCAGAAAATGTCGTTCCATTTTCCTCGGGTATTCCCAATGGTCTCTGACCGGTTGATCTGGCATAATGGAAAACACCCCTTGTCTTCGGAGGAAACTGCTCGACATGGAAGTTAAGATAAGTCTTCCCGGAAGTATGCACATGCATGTAATGAATAAGCTTGTTTTATCGACTCGCGACAGGCAAAATAACCTATCTTCCTTTGGGTTGTGTCCTGGTGTACCGGTACACAGAAGGAATAACCACTGTACTCCTTTCTTTACGTACCTTTGTTTAGCTGTTGAACATTGTTGGGTCTTTTGTATCGGTTCTTGTGAACCGGTACACGAGAACAGAACCTTCCTTTGCGTATTTGTTTCTCCTGCCTAGGCCTTGCCGGCTAAACGAATGAACGGTTTTAGACTAGGATGTCATGTTG